CCCCCCCTCCCTCTCTCTCTATTTCTTTCTCTCTCTCACACTCATAACAATAAATGGAACAAAACTCTCTCTCTCTCTCTCTCTCTCTCTCTCTCTTGTGTTAGCTCTTAGTCTCATTGATTTGGCTACCTTAGGGCTGCGTTCCCCGCGCCCACGTGGTAAACAATTGTAGGTAGTCCGCAATTTTGGCAAGGACCGGTCCCCCAAATTTTTTTGCCCCCTAAAAACCCACTTTGCGTCCTGGTCGCCCACCGCCAAAAATGCGACACCTTGACACAGACGCGGAAGCCCACTATACCGCAGCCTAAGGGCTGCAAATACCCGAGATAGGGCCAAACAAGTGCCCCCTAGATGAGGAAGCAGAGGTTACGCTAAGGGACCAGAAAGATGAGGTAGGTAGGGGGGGGTCTGCTGTGAGCACCCAGAAAAAAAAAGAAAAGAAAAGAAAAAAAAGGGGAATGTGGTGTGATGAGGCCCTCCTCGTTAGGCCGGTAGATGGGGTGCTTGTGTTAGTTCACGGTCCCGCGCTACCGACGAGAACACGCTCTAGGGAGGAGGACAGGCGGGGCTGTCCCGGAGGTCCCAAGGGAACTCCCAAGAGACATCCCACGGGAACTCCCACCAAGATTTGTACTGACTTCTGGGCGAAGAAGAGGAGGGAGTGGGAGAGGGAGAGAGGGAGAGGGAGAGGGAGGGCGTTGGGCGAAGGGACCACCACGCGGTTGCTCATGAAGTGATCAGTAGCTCTCCGCCGCCGATCAGCCTGATAGGCGTCGCTTCACGGCTGATCAGATGTGCACAATGAGAAAGAACCTTGTGCTAGAACACAGGAAGATACAGCGCCATATTTTTTGTATTTTCTGCATGTGGAGAGTAGTGGTGCGAGGCCCATACTGAGTTCTCCACGTCACACCTGTTTCCCGCGTTTTTGTTTATTGCCACGTGGCATCCAGTTGGCAGTCCTATTCTCAAGATGGAGTGCTAGAGCGCAGTTCGTTTTCCCGCGTGATGGCGGTGTGGCGGCGGCCATAATACAATTTTCAATCTCGCAGAGCTGCGAGGGCATACTCACACTACAGTAGGGGCTTCTTTTTTGCGACCCAGCTGTGGACGCGATTGCGGTCAGTTGCATCCAGCTCTAGCTGTAGTTGCGGTCAGATACATGCAAAAGAATGCCACCGTAGTGTGTGGGTACTGCCCTGAGTGATGCAGACGTGCGCCCAGTTCATGGGAGATGATCTGGACGGGACACGTGTGACGGACCGAGGGGGAGAGTGGGCGCTGCAGCGTAGCGCGAGGAGTGCCATTACGGAGATCGCGTTAGTTACTGCAGCAGCAGCAACAGCAGCCGGAGGAGGAGGAGGAGGAGGAGGAGAATGACGGGGGTGAGAGTGGGCGGTGCAGCGTAGGGCGAAGATTGTCACTACGGAGATAACGTTAGTCACTGCAGCAGCAACAGCAGCCGGAGGAGGAGGAGGGAGAAGGAGGGAGGAGGAGGAGGCGAATGAAGGGGGTGAGAGTGGGCGGTGCCGCGTAGGGCGAGGAGTGTCATTACGGAGATCGCCTTAGTTTCTGCAGCAGCAACAGCAGCCGGAGGAGGAGGGAGGAGGGAGGAGGAGTAGGAGGAGGAGAATGACGGGGGCAGGATCCGAAGGTCGATTCGAGAGGGCGATGGAGAAGCTGTTTCTTCTGGCGAACTTGGCAACCCCTGCTGCGAGGTAGCTTTTTTTATTTATTTTAATTTTAATTTACTTATTTTGAAAGGGCGGCGGCCTTCAGATATCATCATGGAGCTGACCGGGCCCAGCCTTTTTTTTTTTTTAAAGGGCGGCGACCTTACGATATCACCATGGAGCTGACCGGCCCCAGGCAATTTCGAAATACAATATGTGGTGCTATTCGTTTTACTCATACTCGTCCAGTTCCATCATCATCTGGATTCCAACTCGGGTCTGTCTGGTTCATGGGTGTGTGTACCCACTGAGCTACGTAGGCTCTTGGGCAGGCAGTTTTTTTTTTTTTTTTTTTTTTTTTTGAAGGCTCTTGGGCAGGCAGTAGTTTTTTTTTAGATGTGGCACTGTTTTCCTTTGTACTTCATTGTCGTCTTTGATATTGTTTTCGTAGTCGACTCTTAAGTCGATTGCTTAAGCGATCGGATTTTTCTTGGTTCAGGTTTGTCTTAACAATTTACTTATGTATTGCGACTGCCTTCTTTTGAGTAGGAATAAGGTCATCAGTCGTGACGATGCTGCTTTTTAAGATTTGAAGGTCAAAATAAAGATTATCACCGATTAGTAAATAGTATAGTAGTGTTATCAGCACAGTGCATATATTGATATAAGTATCTCTATAGGCCCTCCATATGTATAGATATGGAAGGTCTATACTGTATAGATGCCTATATGCTACAATATAGGCCTTCCATATATCTAGAGATATATAGATAAATCATCCATATTCTGTTTGTGACGATATATATATGGAGGGCCTATATATAGATATATCTAAATGCCCTATATGGAGGGCCTATGCAGTATAGCCCCTCCATATTTATATGATATATATCCGGATCAAGCGATGGAAAGTTCACATCTCAGTCAGTGAGATAGCAATTATCCCATCGTCTGATTAAGGGGGGGGTATATGTATATATCGTATATGTATATATGTATAATATATATACATCCACGTGTGCGGCGTTGTACGCAAGAGGTTTTGAACAGGGGGAGTTGTAAGTCAGAAGATGAAAAATGAATTGATATCTTTCTTGTTTCTTTTTGTTTTTTTTTCGCTTTTGCGCTCTGATATCTTTGTGACGATATATAAGGAAGATATAAGGAATATAAAAAAACTGAATTCATTTTTTCTTGTTTTTCTTTCGTTTTTTCTTTTTGTTCGCATTTGCGCTCTGATACTCTTGTGATCTTTGTGCC